ACCCTGCCTAACATCAAAGTATTATGCTCATACTGCTCTAATTCACTATATTATTAATTTTGAGTTTCTTCCATAATTATATTGCAGCTAATCAACTTAAAATTCATCTCTTGATTTTGTTTGCAGGTTCCTCTCATCCTTGGTATCTGGGGAGGCAAAGGTCAGGGTAAATCTTTCCAGTGCGAGCTTGTCTTTGCCAAGATGGGAATCAGGTCAGTCCAATTGCATGCTTTCCATGCATGTTCTGTTCTGTTCTGTTCTGTTCTGTTCTTATTGCATGTCTCAGTCTCACTAGAGGAATTTCCTTAACTTTTATTTTTGGGTGAGACTGAAATCTATGATTTTTCTATGAGTCGCTTGCAAGTAGCTAGTATTTACTCTCACACACGAGGCCAAAGCTTTTCTTTTTCCTAGGCCTTAAGCTCCTTTGTAACAAAAATAAATAAATAAATTAAGATTCTATGTTACTAGTTTATGGTCACTTAGTCAGGCTATGTTCTATTTCTTACTGAAACTAGCCTTTAACGATGATCATTTTTTCAGCCCCATCATGATGAGTGCCGGAGAGTTGGAAAGTGGAAACGCAGGAGAACCCGCGAAGCTGATCAGGCAAAGGTACCGTGAAGCAGCTGACATAATCAGGAAGGGCAAAATGTGCGCACTCTTCATCAACGATCTTGATGCAGGAGCTGGTCGGCTTGGTGGAACCACACAGTACACTGTGAACAACCAAATGGTGAATGCCACTCTCATGAACATTGCTGACAACCCAACAAATGTCCAGCTCCCCGGTATGTACAACAAGGAGGATAACCCCCGTGTCCCCATCATTGTCACCGGTAACGATTTCTCAACATTGTATGCTCCTCTCATCCGTGACGGGCGTATGGAGAAGTTCTACTGGGCGCCTACCCGCGAAGATCGTATTGGTGTCTGCCTTGGGATCTTCAGGAGTGACAATGTTGCTAAGGAAGACATTGTCAAGCTTGTTGACACCTTCCCTGGCCAATCCATTGGTAAGTTTTAGTCCCCTTCTCTCTTCTTATTAGACAGTCTGACATGTTATGTTATAAGAAATTGCATACAATGATAATATTTGGTTCTGTGTCATGGTTTTGCAGATTTCTTTGGTGCACTGAGGGCCCGAGTCTATGACGATGAAGTGAGGAAGTGGATTACAGGGGTTGGGGTTGACGGCGTTGGGAAGAGGCTTGTGAACTCAAAGGAAGGGCCCCCTACTTTCGAGCAGCCTAAGATGACAATCGAGAAGCTGCTTGAGTATGGAAACATGCTTGTCCAAGAGCAAGAGAATGTGAAGAGAGTCCAATTGGCTGATAAGTACTTGAGCGAGGCTGCTCTTGGTGATGCCAACTCAGATGCTATTGATAGTGGAACTTTCTACGGTTAGATCCCTTGATCTTATAAGAGGCCTGTGAAGAGGTTTGCATCCAGCTTAATTTGGAAAAGTCATCAAATGAATTTGTGTTTAGGCTTCACAAAAAACAAAAACAGAAAATTTACTAAAGCTTATTTGGTTGTGTTGGCGCAGGCAAAGCAGCCCAACAAGTTAACGTTCCAGTTCCTGAAGGTTGTACTGATCGAACTGCAGAAAACTTTGACCCAACTGCTAGGAGTGACGATGGCACCTGCCTGTACACATTTTAAGTTCTTGCTTCTTAATTTAGGGTATTGGGGGAGGAAGGAGGGAAGCACCTTTGTTTTTTTTTTAAGGATGTTGTGGTGAAACAATAACTATGTTGCTGTTTTCCTTTTGTTGGATTGGTGTCATGTAATTTTGTGTAATAATGTACACTATTCAATGTCATCAATAGGTGCTTTTGTTCTTCCCCATCAGTTATTTCAGTTAGTTCAGTTCCTCATGTTCTGTTCTATCTTTTGTTCTTGTCCCTTATGGAAGTTTTCTGCATCTTTACATTCAATATGGGAAAATCATAAATATCAGGCCATGAGACTTATAACCTGCAAAGCTATACAATATATATGATATAAAAATAAAAAATAACATCTTGATCTTGATCTTGTAACTGGACTTTCTAGATTGAGACATGTTTTATGTGTTTTTAATTAGTTGTGTATTTCACGTGGTAAATATCTTATCTGAAACACACATCGTATTCAAATTAGTTCTACTTGACTCTGAAATCAAATTGATAAATGATAAATAAGTCAACAGTTCGGCAATTGTGTCTTTGTCAAACAATGCCAATGCCATATGTCACAAAGGTACAACGACGAGCAGTTTGCAGTAGTCTTTGACCTCGTAAATTACATCTCACGCAGCAACAAATTATTTTATTGCAATAAAAGGTTCTAACTTTAGTGGTGTGGGAGACCAAAAATCTCCTACAAACAAAATAAACAACAGAATACTGTTAAATGCTGGAGGCATCTTCATAATCTAAGATAACCGTACGGAGTTAACGAGGTCTAGTTCAATGAAAATGAATTTTAATTTATAGATAAGAGAATTCAGGTTCAAACTCTAATGATATCTTAGTTGCGTATGTGAGTTTAGACTATCTCTTATTGATATAGGAGCATAGGGGTAGATCAAGATAGATATTTATCATTTAATCAATTATTTTCTCATTTATGTAGTTTTAGGATATCTTTTATTATTTATGTGTGATTTTATAATTAATTAGTTTACTTTTGGACCAAGTAGTCTTGGTGTCAAAGTCTTATAAAGCCTATAAATAAGGCTAATGTAATAGTTGTAGGGGAGTGGATGTTGATGATTAATGAAATAAGTTTATTTGTGGTAAGAATTTGCTACGATATATGTGAGTTTGCACTAACCCTAGATTTCGATGTTCGTGTATGTTGCTGATGACCTGTGTCCGGACCCCGATCCCCATCACTTATACTCAAAATAATAATAATAATATTAACTGTACGGATTATTTTGATAGAGAGGTATTGTCACATTGGTTGAGGGAATATGATTTCCGATGTAAAAGTACATGTGTTTACATTACCCAATCGGACACAAGGTGATTTTCATCCCTCATATAATTGGATTACCAATCAAAGTTAGAGCCATTCAAAGGCCAGTCCAATGTCTACTTCCACTACATGATTTGTAATAGCTTGTTTAAGCATTTTAATGACCTCAGCTGCCCAAGTGTAGATTGTCTATGTCATGCGTACGTCATAGATTCATAGCCGTAAGTTTACAATACTTGAGCTCCTTGGTCGTATTATAACTTTGGTTAGAACTCAATTCAGTAGTCCAATTACGACCCTCGCACTAGCAAATAATTGGCAATGCAATACCAAAAATACAATATGAATGATACCCTTTGTCTTCAATTCTATGTCAATAGAATCAAACTTAATTTAGTTTTTTTCCTCACAACTTGTGCTAATTAATTTGGACCTTATCTCATGAGTTTGGTGCGAGAATAAACGGCTCACATACAATATATGTATTCACATGCGTCAACAGCTCACATATATTGATTTTTACTTACGCAATTATGAATAAAGAGTCAATTATATTATTGAATCAATGACATTTAATACAACTTTTGGGACTTCATTAAAACCAACCACAATCATTTTTAGTATGAAACACAAAGAACATGTGGGTTTGAAAATGGGTGGTAGCAAAAGATTCAAACAAAAAGCCAATTGCATGTCAATGAGATCCCCATTGTCTCCAACCAAACCACGAATGCATCCACACGCATTTGGCACACCAAAAGTAGATAAAGCATACACCACCACAATGTTTAGCCTTCCAAAATGGTCAATAAAATTTAATGAATGTTGCACCTGGGCAACTACCATTTGCTCTCATGGCATGGGACTTTCCGACCTTGTTTGGTGGGCATTGACACTTGCACATCTCAATATTCTTTATTCTTTGTCTTTGTTTTTCCATTAACTTATTTTTCAACCGAAATAAAAACAAAAAGCTTTATATATTATTTAAAACTACATAAATAAACCGTAAAATTGAAGAAAAAACAAAGGGCATTGCAGCATGCGCGATAGTGCTCCATCATAAACTATATGTCTAAACCGATGAAACAAACGCGTGTGTTTTATTTAATCCAAAAACAGAGGGAAATTTTCTGCTGGTGATGCTGTACCAGAAAATGGACGTACCAAACCAACAGCGTTTTGTGGTGTCGTATTGATATTATAGTTGTCTTTTGTTGTAATGTAATATTTAAGGTGTCATAATGCAGTTCGAACTGAACAAATTGAGTTCAGCTTATATGCATTGTATGCCAAGCCATTATTATTCCACCATCCATAATTATTTAGAAAAAAAATACTTAAGATAATGGCTTGTACGTGTTGGTTCAATTTGTCTAAGGGTTTTTGGTAATTGTGAAACGTCTTCTCACTTTTTTTTTTTTTTTGATTAAGTGGTCTTCTCACATTTCGAATAGGAACTCTTGTGTGAATTATTGAGTAAAAAAATTCACCCTCCCTGCTATTATTATCATGCATCGTGCGAACGCCATGTATTTTTTTACTATATTATCTTACTTCTTCAACTTAAACACCGTGACAAAGTTAACTTTGTGTTTTCACCCATCAATGCTTGTGAGTAATGATGCATTTTTAAACGGATAATGATAGGTGGGTTTGGATTTTACGAAAAATTAATTGGATAACTCAACGTCAACGGTAAATAAAAGACATTCCATATTCAAATTCTTATAAATCCAAAAGAAACAAATGGAATTTACCTGATATTATATATGCATTGTGTACATGATTACATGTATTGGGATGTATTTTGTGCATGATTAGATGTTTGTGGAAATTACCTTGAAAGTCGATTTTATGGGTGGAGTTGGAAAAGGAAAAGAAAATGGAAGTTGCGGAAAGTGAACCGACCTAACAACCATATGTGGTTTCAAAGAATCAAAGTTGGTGGTGGAGGCTCAAATGGCCTAGTGGTAAAATAGCTTCAATCCTACTCAGTTATCTCAAATGAAATACAACCCGACATCCAATTAGAAAATATGAAAAACAATTTCATATACACCGACACCTTAACCTAGCTAATCCAGCATAATAGCACTGGAACTCCATTTCCATCTGGTTCACAAACTCCGTTTCTCTCCCCTCTGTCAACTTATGGCATATCAAAGACTCATACTTTTCTTGGTTTTTCTCCTTTTCCTCACAAACCCAGTAAAGTCTCAGCTTGATGAAGAGCTCCACTTCAATGGGTTCAGTGGCGTTGGCAGCAACATGAGCTTAAATGGGGTCGCAGAGATCGAGCCCAATGGCATGCTAAAGCTCACAAACGACACTCTTAGAGTCTTGGGTCACGCTTTCTATTCTTCTCCAATCAAATTCAAGAACTCAACTGATGGAAAAGCTTTCTCCTTTTCCACCGCTTTTGCTTTCACTATAGTCCCAGAGTACCCCAAGCTCGGCGGCCATGGCCTCGCCTTCATAATCTCACCTTCAAAGGAGCTTCCTGGGTCTCTTCCAAGCCAGTACCTTGGTATTCTCAACGCCACAGTCGTCGGCAACTTCTCAAACCACATCTTTGCTGTTGAATTTGACACTGTGCAGGACTTTGAATTTGGCGACATCAATGACAACCATGTTGGCATCGATATAAACAGCTTGGCCTCCAACAAATCAACTCCAGCTGGGTATTTCACCAGTCAAAATTCAACAAAACAGAGCCTCAATCTCAAAAGTGGTCACGTAATCCAGGCCTGGGTAGATTACGATTCAGTGAAAAACCAGGTAACTGTTAAGCTTTCCCCTAATTCTATCAAACCCACATCTCCAATTTTAACCTTCGATGTGGATCTCTCTCCAATTTTTCAAGATTTTATGTACGTTGGCTTCTCTGCCTCAACTGGGTTGCTAGCCAGCTCGCACTATGTCTCTGGTTGGAGCTTCAAAATGAATGGAGATGCCAAGTCTCTCTCTTTGGATGCTCTGCCTAAACTCCCTGGGCCCAAAAAAACACACACAGGTGTAATTGTGGGTGTTTCTGTTTCTGCTTTTCTGGTCTTGATCTTAGGCATTGGGTTGGCTTTCTACATCATTCACAGAATCAAGAACGCTGAGGTGATTGAAGCTTGGGAGCTTGACATTGGTCCTCACAGATTCACATACCAGGAGCTGAAGCATGCCACAAGAGGCTTCAGAGAAAAAGAGGTAATTGGGTTTGGTGGGTTTGGTAAAGTTTATAAGGGAACTTTGCCAAACTCAAATACCCAAGTTGCTGTTAAGAGAATATCCAATGAATCAAAACAGGGTCTTCAAGAATTTGTGTCTGAAATTGCTAGCATTGGTCGTCTTCGCCACAGAAATCTAGTTCAATTATTGGGTTGGTGTCGTAGGCGTGGTGATTTGTTGCTTGTATATGATTTTATGCCTAATGGGAGCTTGGACAAGTACCTGTTTGAAAACCCCAAAGCAATTTTGAGCTGGGAGCAGAGGTTCAGGATTGTCAAAGGTGTAGCTTCAGGGCTATTGTATTTACACGAAGGTTGGGAGCAAACTGTGATTCATAGAGACATTAAAGCAGGAAATGTGTTGTTGGATTCTGAGCTAAATGGAAGGCTTGGTGACTTTGGTCTTGCTAAGCTGTATGCGCATGGCTCAAACCCAACAACAACCAGGGTGGTTGGCACACTGGGTTACCTCGCTCCTGAGTTGACTCGGACTGGAAAACCTACTCCCAGCTCTGATGTGTTTGCTCTGGGAGCTCTTTTGCTTGAGGTGGTTTGTGGGAGGAGACCCATTGAGGCCAAAGCCATGCCTGAGGAGCTCATTTTGGTGGACTGGGTTTGGGACAAGTGGAGAGATGGTACAATTCTTGATGTTGTGGACGCAAGATTGGAGGGTGAGTTTGATGAGCTTGAGGCTGTTGTGGTGCTTAAACTTGGCATAATGTGTTCCAATAATACCCCCAAGGCAAGACCTACAATGAGACAGGTGGTGAGGTACTTGCAGGGTGAGGTGGCACTGCCTGAGGTGGTTTTGTCTCCTGGGGCGTATGATGGGAGAAAGGACAGTGAGGGTGGTGGTGAGTTTGAGGATTATGTGCATTCGTATCCAACATCTTCATATTTTGAGAAGGCAAGTGCATGGTCATGTGATGATGCAGATGTTGATTTTGAAGCTGCTTCTTCAAGCTCACCTCTCTCAGTATCTGGTAGAAATGGTGGTAGCTGCCCAAGATAGTGTCAATTTCCTCTCTCTCTCTCTCTCTCTCTCTCTCTCTCTCTCTCTCTCTCTCTCTCTGTCTTTCTTTTTTCTTTTGGGTTTTGTTTCTCTTTTTTTGTATAATTATAGCTGTGCTAGTATTTTTTTTGTTTCCATGTAAATTTGATTATTATGTCACCCCATTTTGGATTGTAAATGTTCTGGTGTACATGATGTTTCTGTTCTTTAATCTGCAGTTATAGTGAGGCTTCCTCTTTCATCTTATAGGAGTATTTACATTATTGCTTCTGTTTTTCCCATGTGAAAGACAAAATTTGTGTCACTGTTTGAATCCACATGTGGTGTTCAAGAACATCATGTTTTAAACTTTTTTGGTGCTCGCATGTACAGGTTCATTGTATCAAAATTCCCAAAGGTTCCGTGTGGAAATATTTCTGTCCAGTTAAAAGTAGTGCAGAGAAAGACTAAGCTATGCTGGATTAGTTTATTTAATGTAATTAATGAAGGGTTGGTTGCAGAGAGCCAACAACCAACAGTGACTTTTGTCGTACTTGAACAACCTTGCAATCAAAGTCTTGAAAAGGAAGATTCAAGTCCAAAAGGCAGCTCTTCTTCAGCTAACAGTTAGCTTATCGAACGTAACCAATTAGATTCTCGAATCCAAACAATTAGATTCTCGAACCCTAGGGATTAAATTCTCGAACCATAGCAATTAAATTGTTGCAGTGTCAACTCTGCAAAGGGAGATATAAACACTCTTTATCCTCTGTTTGGATGAAGGAATTGAAAATTACATAGAATTCTAAAATGACGGAATTTAAATTTTCATCATTTCAATTTTCGGCAATTGAAGTTTTCAATGTTTGGATTTATGTATGTCAAATTTTGTAAATGACAGAATTTTGTGAATGACACTATAGAAATTGTGAAATGACACATATTTTGGTGGAAATTAAACTCGGAAATTTGATGCCTCAATTTTCACGATTTTTTCTGCTCGTCATTTAATAAATTCCGCGCTTAAGTTGCCAAACAAAGGAATTGTCGATTCTCCTCTTAAATTCCTGACTTCTAGCTAAATTTAGAGTTATTTTCCCTCATCCAAACGGATATCATGAAACAAAACCAGCTTCATACTCTATTCATCTGTAATAAAAGGTGTCACTGAATGAGGACAAGATGGGGTAAACAACAATCTAGATTTTATCTTTCTAACGGTTCGAATGTGTAAATCTACAAACAGACGAGACGTATTAGAATAAACAACATTTTAACTGCTACAACTATATGCTTCTATTTATCAGCTACAATGCACTATTCTCTAAATTGAAAACTGTCTTGGACGCTTCAAAAATTTGCCAGACACCACATGCACATCTACTTCTCTACATCTTCCTCTGCTTGATTGCAGAGAACAAGGTGGCAATTCGTAACCGTGGGTTCTTGAGATACAGAACTGCCTCATGCATAAGGTTCTAATGATTTTCTACATTGTCTTCAACATTTTCCTCTTCAGAGTCTTTCCCCCTACCAAAAATCTCATAATCGTAAAACCCTGCATATAGACCAAGATAATTAGTGTACTGTGTAATTAGGGACAAAGTTTATTCAGCATTAAGCAACTCTCCACATCCAAGTATAAAATTACCGGAGCCCAATTCTTCAGCATCATCATTTGAGGGCCCTAAAAGCATTGTGCTAGCAGAGGGTGAATCCAGTGTCATCCAATCTGAACTTCCATGGTCCTCTAAGCACATGTCCTTCCCTGAAACCCAGTCTTCAATAATGCTAATGCTGTCAAATGATATGGGATCCATAAAATCCTGTTCAGTGTTCTTACCAACCCTGCGGGAAAAACATATATATTATTATCAAAAAGAAAGGAACTTTTCTCCCTTGAAATTTTCGACCACCATTCCTAAATCCATACAGGGTCAATTGCTTTCTGCTTACATTTGTCTCAGTCGTAAGTTGTACTGAACAAAGACAAGGTCACTGAGACGTTGACGCTCAAGGGAGTTTCTTATGTTGTGTACTTTCTCAAAAGGAATCTGATTTTGCCTACACCCAATCGAACAGCAAGTCTGACTGAGAATACGGATTGCCAAGCGTGCCAAATTTGGGCAACCTCCTCCATATGTTGACCACCATTCAGCTAAGACAAGTATATTACAGAAAAAATTAGCTAAATGTGTGAAAGAGGTTAAAATAATATGAGAAACAGAATACTTGCAATATGTGCCTGGAAGGTTTTCCCTTGGTGTCATGGTTACACCAAATACACCCAAAATATCAAAGAGCTTCAATCTTTACCAGGATTAAACGGAATCGAAGACTTATTAAATTTGGAAGTAAAGCACTCGGTGATCTAATACGTAAAAATGCTTATAAGTGGTAATATATGCTACTTGAATTGAAAAGGCAATGTCATCTCACTTAGCATGCACGAAAGCATATCGAGCAGTTTCTTCAAAAGTGCTAATAAATAAACCATTGTGAGGTAAGTCATGATACAGCAGCTATAAATAACAATCAAATCTAGAACAATGGGCACTCACCAGGAAGCAGAGTGTCTCTAGCTCTAATTGCCATCTTCCTCCGAAAATCTCCAGCAGCACTCTTGTAAAAATTTAGCTCTTTGATGATTTTATCTTGGACTTTGGTATCAGGAACCAATCTCTCTATGCAATCAAACATCCCTGAGAGGATATCACCATGCATATCTCCTTCAATACTGTAAAATATTTTGGGGTTAAGGTAGAAGCCTGCAGCATGAAGAGGAAAATGCCACAGCTGTTCCCATCTTTGATCTATAATGTTCCAATATACCATGTACTCCTCCCTCTTAACGAGTTCTTTTTTAATTGTTTCCTTTGCTCGATACATTCCAGCATAAATATATCCCATCGCAGGCCTCTTCTCACTACCAACCATTCTCAAAACTCGCAAGAGGGGATTTGTCAGACGAACAATCAGGACGCATGAGGACCAAAATGACTGATTACTAATAAGATCTAACATCTCCAATCCCTCCGGTTCCTTTGAATATGGGGAGTCCATCCACTCCTGTGAAGTAACCATGACCTGCAAGCAGTGTTTCAGATCAACCAGTCGTTTTAATGTTGTAAAGTTTGTAGCATAGCGAGTAACTCCTGGTTCTACTATGTCATTCCCAAAAGTAGACCTTCTAACCATATTCAATACTACACTATGATTGTACACAAACTTTGTCAGAGATCTAGCTTGTTTGATTACTGCATTTATCCACTCAATGCTACCAAAATCCTCAAGTATTAAATCTAGGCACCGAGTATCAGTCAGCCTTCTCCCTGCAACCATATATTGCTCTTCGTTACTAGTAATCACCTGCAGCACATCTTTTACTCCAACATCTTCTACCACTCTCCTAAGCAATCCATAAAGAGCATCGGAGGAATTTATAATGTCTGATGCATCCACGGATTCCAAAAATACTGTTCCTTCAGGACAGTACACCAAAAAACTTAGCAAAACCTTACCTGACTCCGTGTTCCACTGATCAACCAAAACTGAACAACCAGTTCTTCCCCACATTGCCCTATATTTATCAGTATTATTCCTCACTTCTTCAACTGAATTCTTCAATATCCAACTTCGAAGATCATGGTACGTGGGAGGCTCAACCCCAGAACCTCCTGAAGCAATTGCATCAATCATCGGTTGGAAATAAGCAGAGTTTGCCGCATCTGGAGGTGCCCCAATATCATACAAAAACCGTCCAATTGCCTCGTGAACATAATTGTTCACTTTTCTAGAACCTAATGCAGCACTATTGGTAACACCAAAAGCACCATGGCTTGAGAAAGAATGTTTACCTCTCCCCCTTTTCCTTCTATCCAGACTCCTCTCACTTGTCATGCCCTCTTGATTCCCTAACAACTCCGAATTGGGTTCAAGCGTCACGGGAGCTCCAATCAACTGAATCCCATTACTCACATCACTGTGAAGGGCAAGTGAGTCTACCTCACCATGAGGTGATGGAGTAATATTAGTAATCTCTTCATCAAGCTTTTGCCTATTTCTCTTCTTCACCACAACCCCATCTAAACTCTGTTGCATTAAAGCCCGAACATCGGGTGGAACCAGTAGACAAGTAGATGCATTACCCTTCTGACCAGCAAGGTGTTCTTTAATCCTATGAATCCCACCACCCTTAAACAATTTGCTACAATATATACACTTGAGTTGAACCCTCTCCCCATTCTTGAACATTTGACAATGTTTCCATGCAGGGTCGTGTTTTTGTGATGTAATCGGTACAGGCTCCATTACCAGACCCGAAGCCATATCCACAACCTCCAAAAACTTAACTTATTTGCAAAAAAGGCCAAAACCCATTACAACAAGACAATCACTTTCTTCTTCAATTCAAAGTTAAACCAAGTAATTCAACAGAAACCCATCAATCCCAGCATCAATACGGTGCATATACTTCACTCAATAAAATTAAACATATAAAAATTGAGGGTGAGAGAGGAAGAAGAGAGAGCTTACTTGTTTATTGTTCTTTTAATACTTCTGATAAACAGAGAGAAGTCTATTTGGGAAACAGAACCGAGTTGGGGTGGTTAAAATGGGGATTATAAACCGTGGGGGAGCGACCGGATGGACCGGTTAGGGTTTGGGCTCAACCGCTTATACTGACCATTGTTTCTTTATTTATATTGGGCTTAACGGTTGATCTGGTCAGAGTGACATTCGTTTAAACGGTTTTGGAAAACGAGAAACCGAACCTTCCGGTTTCCTCGCTAACAAGCCGTGACTCAACTTGAAACTCGGACCGGCCGGCGCCCGGCAAAATCAAATGAACCGGCGATTCGCGGTAGTTACACTTCAGGTCTGGGTCTGGTTTCTTTTTTGGTCTGTCTTTAAAATTCAATTTCTTGTTACATAAAAATATAAAGGTTCTTTTAATTAAGTATATAAAAAAAAGCTTCTTCGATTGGATTCAGAGACTGACAGTTTCTTGTTTTGGAGGAAGTTTTTTTTCTTCAGACACAAGATTATCCTTCAAAAAAAAATTTAACTAGCTGAATAATTTACCAAAAAGAAACCCACATTTTCTATTTAAATATAGTTTCAACTGACCAATATTTCTACTTGAAGTTACCTATAAAAATAGAATTTTGATAGATAATCCGTATGATGAAAGTGATAGACACATAAAGATATTCATATGATGAAAGTGATAAACACATAAAGTTGTATACATCTATCATAACACTTGACACATGTATGTGTTTTTTTTAGAAGAGAGTTTTATTCATAAGCCAAAACGGCATACAAAGACTTACACATGTATATTACTAGCTAAGGAAATGATATAAAATGTGAATTGCATCGACCTTCAAAGTCTAATGGACATTAACGGATTAAGATTAATAATTGTAGGTGAAAATGAGATTTAACATTGAAGCTGCAAATCCATTGGAAAATTTGAGGTTTGCTCCATACCACTTGCATCTTTGGAAAATCTAAAAAGTAAAGTCTCTCATTAATTTTTAATATAGATCCAATCCACAAAAAAATTGCTATTATAATGGGGCGGTGGTAGTAATAAGAAAAAGGGATGGAATCTTATGATAAAAGAGGAACTAAAGTGAGAGGCATCATGGGGGGTACTTCGAAATTTGAATTACTTCTCTTTTGTTTGAATTTTATATCTAAAGTATAAAAAAAAACTTATTCATAATGGAGATAACATTGTTTTGCTATTCACGACCAATAACACAATAATATTTAAAAAAGTTATCATACATGTCATTGCTTTACATGATAGTTTCCCTCCTAAAGAAGAATAATAAAAAACCATCTTGGGCATGCCTTTTTGCTCTGCAACAAATTAGATAATCCAAGAGGATTATAGAGTAAAACCGAAAAAAAACAAACCAAAAAAAAAAAACAAAAACAGAGAGAGAGGACATGCAAATGAAAGTTGAACCCAAAACTTGAGCTTAGGGTTTACTTTGCCTAATGTCTGTGATGTAGGAAGCTGTCAATCTGAACTTGAGCTTTTACTTGTAAGTGGGTTCCTTATAGTTTTTAAAATGAGTGTTTAAAAAGTAGCCTATATCTTTTCTGCAAACTTTGTATCTATATATATAAAGCAAAAGACGGAGAATTGTGAAACATTCAAAATACCAAAAAATGCCCTTGGTTAATGCAAACATTAAGAATTAAAATTATTAATAATTTACAAGTCTTGAACTTTGCAAACCGTTATTACATGTGCAGTTGTTCTTAAAGTTACCACTCCTTCCATGTTGGCGACAAAGCAGGAAATTCCTTTTCTCTTTTTTCCACACGTAGTAGAATCATAAACGCACAGAGAAATAGCAGCACATCCCAGCCATCTCCATCAGTCATATCAATTTCAGATGCCAATCTCACAAGTCTTCTTCTTCCTCTGCTTTCTCATCTCCCTGTCCTTCATAGGTACTCCCTCTTTTTCACTCATAGAATCTGTGGTTTTCTAAAACTTAGATTAACAATATTTATATCTCTGTTGCAGATGGAACTCAACTCATTATAGTGAACAACTGCAAGGAGAGCATATGGCCCGGGATCCTTGGCACTGCAGGCTACCCAACTCCTCAATGCGGCGGCTTCCATCTCCACAGCGGGGAACAGCTAGTCCTTGACGTGCCCGAAAACTGGTCAGGAAGACTATGGGGCAGGCAAGGCTGCTGCTTTGATGAACAAACAGGCAAAGGCTCATGCCAAACAGGGGATTGCGCCGGGCTCTTACAATGCAGGGGACTTGGTGGAGTGCCTCCAGCCACACTAGTTGAAATGACACTTGGGACCTCCAAATCAGACTTGCATTACTATGATGTGAGTTTGGTTGATGGGTTCAACGTTCCGGTTTCAATGAGGCCAATAGGTGGTAGGATGGGGTGTGGGGTTGCTGCTTGTGAGGCTGACTTGAATGTTTGCTGCCCATCTGCATTGGTGGTGATGAAACAAGGGAAGGTTGTAGGCTGCAAGAGCGCTTGTTTGGCTGCAAATTCAGACAGGTATTGCTGCAGAGGGGAGTTTGCAGATCCAAAGAGTTGCAAGCCAACTGTTTTTGGTCATCTTTTTAAGGCTATTTGTCCCAGGGCTTATAGTTATGCCTTTGATGATTCTACAGGGCTCAAGACTTGTAAAGCTCCTCGCTATGTCATTACATTTTGTCCTCCTAACCATGGATGATCTATTTGAGCAGAGACCATGCCCAAGGCAAAATGCTGGGTAGTTTTGGGGTGCTCTTGTATTGTTGGCAACTTGGCACTAAATTTTGGTGCTATGTATCACTTGGTTTTTTGGTATAATGGTTCCAGTTTTCCTCTTTTTTCCACTTTTTTTTTTGGGGTTGCAGTTTCTTTCCAGTTTAATTCAAAGATTCAACTAAAGAAAAAAAGTAAACTCAAAGTTATACAAGCCTAGTGTTTTAGGGAAAAAGAACAGGTCCTGTTGCCCCTTATTGAGCCTCAATTAAAGCCCAAGAATAATTCATAATGCCATTTCAGGCAGGAGGAACGATCACCAATTGGAGCTTCAAAACCCCAATTAGTTTGGCCTCTAACATAACAAATTTGCCATGAAATTTTCTTTCCCTCCAACATATCTGCTCAAAATATCAAGAAAATCAGCATGGAAAAGCATTAAATTTCATGCAACAGCATGGCATAATAAATCTGGAAATAGAATCTCAGCTTGCTACTTTTTGGGGGAAAAAAGTTCCTTAGTTAGAAAATAATCAATGCCATACATCAAAAAAATTTATGGAGGACTCCACCTGGTAACATTTGTACAGTCACGACCACAAATTCTACTACCGCCTTGCTTTTTACACCCTTAAAACTTGTACACTAAATTTATCTCCTCTGCAGGGGCCTCAGGTGCGTTCACCGTCTGAGCCGCGACTACTCTAAGGTATATCCTCAAACTAACAATGTACAGTTTTAAGTACAACCAACAATCTTTATTTTCATTGCGCCTTATCCATCTCAATACATAGACTTCACTAGACATGAAAGAAAGAGAGGGGCTCATATTATCCTCAGTTAGCTGTACAACTTCATTCTCGTGACCCATCTAAGCAGCAGAAGCATGCGGAGCCAGAATGCTAATCCTCCTCTCTGCAAAAGATTGAGCACCTTGTTAGCTAATTAAGACAGTCGGGATTCAAATGTCTGTAGCATAAGAGCCAAAGACTTGAAGAGGGAACGGCATTACATATTATGCTAGAAAATTATATTGTTCATTCTTCAGCATGTCAATGAGAAACAACAATCAACTTCTTGCATTGGGGGAAAACCCAAAAGATGATTCATAAGTATTTTCATGTATCGTGTGTTTAAGCATCACTATGAGATGTAGGATTGATATCAAATGTCATTTCTATTCCAAATGCTATTCATGAAAGTCAAGATATTCTAAGGCAAATAGTGAATCCTACACTGAATAGGAAACAAACGTGTCTACTTCAACACCTAAATGACAATAAATATGTACAGGTATGGTTTTTAGAGTTTGATATTAAATTATATATTTTAAAAACAAAAAGTTTCTATAAAGTTTGGATGTGTCATAGATTCTTTGTCTCTTATTAGTGTTCAGTAGAGCACTTTTACTTGAGGTGCACATTGATGTTTAATCAATTGATAAACATACTGTAATATGAAGCTGAGGAAAATTTAGAGAATCAACGATCCGCAAGTGATGCACTAATTTATGTATCAGCAAAGGTAAAGAAAAGAAAAGGAGACCAAGAAAAAAGACAAAAGGAGAAAGTGAGGGAAAAAGTACCTCCAGCAGCAACAAGTTTCTCTACACGTGCAACTATATGCTTCCCATAAGTATACTTCTTCAGAGCATTCAGATGAACCTTAATTCGGTTAAGGATTAGTTCAAGTTGCTGATCGTCACAAGTTTCCAGCACTTTCTGTACAACATAATTTGCAAACTGGTCCTTCATCATCGCCTAAATTCAAACAAACAAAAATCAGAAACTAGTATGAGACTACGCATATACACCCGTTTACAAAACCAAAGCCTGGCAAATCATTTTCCCAGAACAACATAGTATTCAAAAGATTTCACAATAACAAAGAGAAGAAGCTTAATGCTCTAAAAAGTTGTGTGTAAACCAGTCAGCCACTCCATTCATTTGAAAAGTAGTCAATGTTAACCAGAAAAAGATGGGCACTAAAACAACTCAATCTTTGAATAGTCATGCTATCATTTTTGTACTTTTATTATAAACTAGGGCTACAATTCAAATACTTTGGCAAGACAGCTAGATCCAAAAGTAATTGATTGGGATGAGGCCAACAGTCACTGAGAATGTTAGATATAATAGTTATAACTTTTATCTGCCATATGATATAACACACATGATAGCTATTGATAAGAGAACTGAAGATAACAGCTGGAAGAAAGCCCAACGAGTTCACTAGTATTCCAATGTATTCACAAGGTCATTTTAAGAGACCACCATTTCAGGTAACCGCATAAGCATAAATAGTAAACATAAGAGCTTGAAAATTGTATAGAAATGTTACTTCACAATGTAACAGTATTATCATAAAAGAACCAAAAGTTAGAGACAATTGCATGTTCAGGAAACCCATTCTTCAGATGCAAACTTGGCCAGAGTATATTTGAAGATTGCAAGTTGAGACAAGAAAAGAGTTAAAGAATCAAAAATAAAGAAAGCTATACAACAATAAAAGAATACATTCACCAATGCACACTGAAATTTAGAGAGACAAAATGCACATAGATCAGTAGCAAACCTGAAGGGGTTCATTTTCATCAGTGGTACCGAGCATCTCAGTTACAAGGGCCTGGCGTTCAGCAAGAGTTCCAAAACTTAAACACTTTTCTATAACATTTGACGCAAATTTTTGCTGGCTCATTTGAACAATCTGGCCAGTTAGTTCCTTAATGATAGCTGATCGTTCATGTGGTTTTCCATGTTCCAGCACATGCTGTAAAATTAATCACAATCAATTAACTGAGTTCAATGTAAAAGAAGAATAAAACAGGCATTTTAGCATACACAGCATGACAGGGGCTATATATGATTATTCCCAAACTAAACAATTTATAGTAACCACATTGGTTCTGTTGTAGTCACAGCTTATTTGTTTTTACAGTTAAGAGTGAGTTAGTTAATGCAAACATACTCTGAAATGTAAAGAAAGTAAAATTGGGGCAAAATCAGAGACAGGCAGGTCTACTATATAAAGCTAATAAATTACATCACGAAACAATTAGGTAAGGGTGCATCAACTCATCCAATACGCCAAGTAAGGTGTATAAACAGAACTCAAAGCAAAGAAATATGAAAACACTAAATTGGTAGGGAGAGGGGAGTGGAGCTGAAATCATATTATTCCTCAGTTCCATTCAATCCCTCCATTTAATGGACAAATAACCGTCCCTTTATAAGTATGAAACTTAATGTTCAACAATGGATTTAAGTGAAGTCGCAAATGCATGAAGAGGCAAAAAAAAAATTGGGCTTAAGATAAGACCGAGATGTCTAGAGAGAAATCAAATTGAACCTTTATACTACATTAAATAAGTACCAAGTTAGCATCTAACGAAGAAACTTAGTAGATTAAGTGAAGGTCCATTTGATACTTAAAAAACAGACTGTATCTAACCACGGTGGGATTATTTTCTTCGACAATAAGAAACTGGAGTGAAAAAAGTTTCTCAGAAATGTGACAAACCTGTACAACATAATTTCCATATTGGTCTTGTGCCAAAATGCAAACAGACTGCAGAATCTCATCCATCATTATTTGCTGCGTTCTGGGGTCATGGCAGTGCTCCAAAACTCTCTGTTACATCAAAGTTATTATACCATTCAGAATCGCAACAGTTGCATTGATAATGATTCATCTTCAACCTATCCAACTGATATGATTAGTAGATGCGCAAACATGAACATGTTTCAGAAAATGGAGCAGTTCTTAACCTGTATGACACGACAACCATATGGATGAGTTGACAGTGTCACGACTTGATCATAAAAAGTTGAAACAACAAACTGGATGGCATCTTCAGGTACACATTCAATACACTTCTGGACGACATGGTTCCCATTTTGATCACGAACACAACGCATAACATGGCCATCCAGTTCACCTACCATTTTAGTCTGCTGGTCCAGCTCAACAACTTCTATAGCCTGAACAGTAAAATGGAAGCACATGAAAACCGAGTTCAATGCAATATGATGGATATCTGTACCCGTCAATGGTGTACAATTTCATTTACATTTTCCCCGAAAACATACGGGGAAAAAAATATCTGTATAATTATGGAAGTAATGTTTTTCTTTCAACTTATACGATTTAATCTATTAAGCTGTATTCCACTTCCCTGGAAGTACAAGAGCAACGAGTTCATCCATTGTGACTCATGAAATTCAAACTTGAGAAAATAATTTTCCCAGAGTAAAACCCAAAAGTTTTGTTTCTCACAAATAATTTCTAAGAAGACCCCCAAACATATTAGATAACATAATTAGCCGGTATCGCATAACACATTATGATACAAAAATGTAGAAGGTAACCCTCCTGCTTTTGTAGGAAAGCCAGAAAGTAAAACATGCAGGAAATATCAATATGACAGGTTACTGTCAGAACTTTGGCAAACTAACTGAACATACCTTCTGGATCACTCGACAGCCATACATTTGAAGGCTAAGGGTCAGCACATGCCCAGTGAGCTGGTCAGCAAGTTCTCTTATTTGTGATGCAGTTCCATGCTCAAAAAACTGAACTCAAAGTGAAAAATTCAGTCATAGGGAAGAAATATTCCACATTTTTTATCAACCACTTAACCAAAGCATATTATGAACATGCTAATACAAAAGAACACATGGAATTGGCACATAAAGGCAAATCAATCTGAACAGGACAAAGTACCTTCTGAATCACATAATTACCAAACACATCGGTCATTAGAGAAAGGGCTTGGGGCATTATTTCATCAAAGACCATGTTCTTTTCTTCGCCTGTGGCAGTTTCAAGTTTCTGTTGAATAAACCGACTTCCATACTGGTCGGCACTGTTCAAGGAAATATGAGTGACTTAATCCCTGGAGATCTGGATGGGTAAAAGGCATAAGTTTTTAAAGAAACAGCAACAAATATATACCTGAACTCAACAACATGCCCTGCAATCTCTGAAAGTTCAAAACATTTAGTCTTATTGCTCTTGAACTCATCTAGTAAAGTGGAAGCAAAATTTT